TCCTTATCTGTAATAACTTTTGTTCGTCTTGCTCCTAAACATTCTACCGAAAACGTTCATCATAAGGCAACATCTCCTCCGCCTCGCTCTCCCTCTGCCCCCCCCTCCCCGCGCGCCCGCTTAGCCTTGGCCTTGGAAAGTGTACACACCCAACACACCGCCAGACAGGTAGAATGTACACACCTACAATACTGCTGGTCAGGTACAGCGTACCATTTGGATAGGAGGATGCTACTCTTCAGAAGAATGCCTCTGCTGGCTTGATTTTCTTTTTAATGCGTTTGTGTTGGTTCTGCAAAGACGGCATATAATACTTTCTTTCTTACTGTAATGTGTGCATTCTGTTGCGCTAGATTTAATGTGCTTTGGAATCCGGTGAGATGAAACCCACTGCTTGTTGCGCCTCCGTTCGTTTGGGCTGTCAAGTAGACTCGGTTAAGCCCGGCGCTGATTGATCGGCTGAATTCACGCCGCGACGCCGGGCCATGTGCACACCTGCGTTCGGGCTGGAGCGAGGGAGGAGGGGGGAGGGAGAGGACGCGAAGGCGAGCACCGCCCGGGGGGAGGGGGGGATTTTCTTGCCAGACACTGACCGACGCGGAGGCAGCGTAAGTTACGCACTGTGTGCAAATGCGCTCCTAGGCGAACTCTGGCATGGCAGCGGCGTTGCGCATCTGGCCGCAGTGGAGGGCGTGGAGGAGGACCCCTTCCTCGCTGACGGGGACAAGGACGACAGTCTCTCTCTCTCTCTCTCTCTCTCTCTCTCTCTCTCTCTCTCTATATATATATATATATATATATATATATATATATATATATGTGTGTGTGTGTGTGTGTGTGTGTGTGTGTGTGTGTGTGTGTGTGTGTGTGTGTGTGTGAGTGTGTGAGTGTGTGAGTGTGTGTGTGTGTGTGTGTGTGTGTGTGTGTGTGTGTGTGTGTGTGTGTGTGTGTGTGTGTGTGTGTGTGTGTGTGTGTGTGTGTGTGTGTACGCATGTGCATTTATATCTAAATGTATAAATACATTTTATGTATGCACGCATTCATGAATATATGTATATCTGACTGTACAGTTATATGTTTGTGGATACTTCGCGAAATCATACCGTTTCCAAACACGCTGCTTTTTGCAATAAAAGTCTAACATTCTTACATACGGTACCTGTCGATGCAGAAAGCACGAGCTTTCGCCGCCCTCGTGGCTGCAGTATATAGTTCAGTGGCTGCAACAACTAATTGTTCGAGTTTTCGTGATGGCTTCTTGACCCGCCGCGCCGAGGTCAGGATCACGGACGCATCGAGTAATCCGCGGCCGCCGCTGAATCGCACCCGCCGATTCCCCGGATTTCCCCTCCGCTGGAGACACCGATCTCGCTCTCCAGTCCTAATGAGGCGCTAAGTCCGACTTGCGACGCGATGCATTTTACAGTTTTCGCCATAACAATGGAGGAGACTTATAAGGGAAAAATGTTGGAGGCGAGGTTGGCAACACTGGTGGCAGTAGGAGGGCACTTCTAGGCTTCCTCCGCGGGAAACGTTCCACTGTGCTTCGACCGCGTCCAGATTGCAGCGTTCGTCGGGCGGCCGGCTCCGTCTGTCCGCTCGGTTATGTTAATATTCCATCTAGATTAAATTCGGAAGATGCTATAGGATCGCGGGGATTCGGGTGTGGATATCGCCGAGACCATCAGCAGCCGCACTGTTGCCAGACATGGAGGCGTCATTTCTATTCTCGGAGTAGCCTTACCCTCCTGCACCGCCGCGGGCTTTAGTGTTTACACGCAGGAAGTGATATCAGCTAGAGATCGTAATACACGGAATTTTCTCCAAAAAGTGCCATTAACATCGAACTGGCGAGTGGCTGAAGCGGCAGGAAACGTTACAAAAGCGCCCATCTAGAGTCAGAAATGCTGACTTTACTGTCATCCTTGTAAAATACGTTGTGTCATACTTTATCTGTAACTTATGATCACTGAAATACTTCCATGCGCAGGTAAATTCACTGCTTCCCTCGAGACTGTCTTCATCTGCACATCTAACTTTATTCGTATTCATCTATGCATCAAAGACCCATATGCATATAGATGTGCGGTGATGTATAAGCAAGTGCAGTGCGCTTTATCTTATATAAATAAATGTGTGTGTGTGTGTGTGTGTGTGTGTCTGTGTGTGTGTGTGTGTGTGTGTGTGTGTGTGTGTGTGTGAGAGAGAGAGAGAGAGAGAGAGAGAGAGAGAGAGAGAGAGAGAGAGAGAGAGAGAGAGAGAGAGAGAGAGAGAGAGAGAGAGAGAGAGAGAGAGAGCAAAAGTGAAATGCATATAATTAATTGATGCAAATATATACATGGACATATTAATACCCATATCAATGAACAGAAAGAAACAATAATGACGTAACGTATCAAACGGAAAGAGAGTGCATTCATTACAAAATAAATAACACATCCCCCAAATCCATTCCTTACATCTGAAGAACAAGAGCCTCTAAATCATTTTCCATTTTAGTTTCCACAGAATTGTAAAGATTTATCGGTCGGTTTTGCCCCGAGGCCCCACACACTGCCTTGCCCCACCTGTCCTTGGCAGCTCGGTTCTCCGTGCTTAAAATATTCATCCCTACACGTCTTTCCATAGAGGCCCTTTTTGAAAATCTAAGAACACTATCTAAGAGAACTGTCGAGGTTATAGTTTATGTTATATGCGTATAACATATGAAAGGAAGAAAAACTCTTCGCAATCTAGTCTGAAAGGTGTAGGCTGGTGGGGCCGGTAGTTTATTATTTAAACGGTCCATTAAGGTTATCTTTTATCTTGACAGATATGGTGAGGTGAAAGACAAGGGAGCGATCTCATCCCATAGAAAGTGACAGCAACTATGGCTCTTATGATCATATGCGCAAGGCTCAAATCCCATTCGCTCATTGCGGAGAACGAGACACAAAAGGAACCTACCGACGTACGACTTTCTTAGCGAGAGGACATTTACCGCAGCTACAAGAAAATTTCAAGGTGATGTCGTCCCATTTTCTTTGAACCTCACACACGAATGGGGGGGGACGAAGGAAAATTGCCGAGACGACGATAATCTCCCGCTTTCCTCCGTGATCAAACTTTCCAGGTCGGAAACGGCGGTGAATTTAGCACTCCGACTGTGCAATAAACACAAAAAAGTGGATTGCGAATATTGGCAACGGAGAGGGGAACACTATAGAGAAAATTGGTGCTGTGACACTAGAGAATAATCCTCCATAAATCACCTTGGTAACAACGCTGTTTTTTGCGGCCGTAATCCCTCGTGATCCCTGACACAGCGCCGCCGTAGAACCCCCTTCGCCATCATTATTCTCAAGGAGCAAAATCGCGGGCAATTACAATAAGGGCGAGTTCTCCTTGTCCGCGTGAAAAATGATGAGGTGAACAGCGTTTCTCGAGTGTATTTTGTTTAATAACCATCCTATTATTTTTTCTCTCAACATTTTCTCCCCTCTGCCTAAGGAACTTATTTTTTTTTATCTAACCTCTCCAGACGCCGGGAAGTTTGTGGTTGTCTATATTAAGGCCACGTTGCCATTTCCGACGCCCCAAGTCGGGGAGGAATTTCGTGTCTTCTTTCGCTCGGTTACTCCCAATTATTTTGACTCCGGGAGGAAGTGTCTCGCGGACTTAGCCCTCTGTGAACGAGGCGGCGGAGGGAGACTTCGATCACCTGGCAACGCTTCACGAACTTCAGACCAAAGCGTCATTATCTGAGCAAAATGAATCGACTGAAGTGTTCACAACTCTTCTTCAACATTCGTCGCTTTCACGTTTTCAATGCATTTCAAATATATTGCCTGACTATTACCAAGCTTTACAAACAAATCAACTCTGACAATAAAAACCCAATGTCGTCAGAGCAACCACTCTTCCCACTCCAGACGCGAGGCATGAGTTCTGGGGTCGGGCTACTAAGGCATAAGAGACGCCCGCGCACGACTCGCCATTACCGTAAAGCAGGCGTCTCGGCGGGGGCGGCAGCCGGGGGAGACTCTCTCCGACGGAGCCCCTGGAGTGAAATGTCGGAACTGCTCCACTAATATGTCTAAACGCACGGCAAGGTCATCAGGACAGACAAATAAGCAACGTTATCATCTCGGGTTGCGGAGAATTTCGGAGTTTAATCGAGTGCGCTGTGAAAACCGTAAATATTATGCTAATTAGCGCAATACTACTTTCATTTGAATATCTGGTTCCTACGCGAGATGCCCTCGCTCCTTTCACTGATATTCACATACGAAAAAATCCTTTTAATTTTGGCTTAAGTTCTGAGTGCAATATAGGAGAATACATTAGCATTACCAAGGAGGACTCTAGATTCCAGGCAGAGAGATAGAAGCCCCTCGTCGTCCATTACATTTTTAACGCATATTCAGTCTCGGATTGTCGGAAGATGAATGGGAAATGCTTGGATGACGACGGAGTTTCAAGGCTCTCGCCAATCTATGATGACTCGTATTTGAAACAAGCTGCAATTACCCACTTTACATTTAAATTGGCTTTAACACTCACAGGCCTCCGGTTGTTTGTATATACTGCGCCTCGAAAAGCCCGGCTATCCTGATCAAGCCAGAGGAAATGGCAGACCTGAGATAACTGATCTTTTGCAATTCCACTTTGCTGGGTTTTTGCTAGAGTTCCATAAATAATGCACTTTAATTTTCATGATATTTCCAGACTTCCTGGATATCACGTGCCCGCTGTGGACTGGCCTTGACTCCTGACAAAAATTGCTCGCCCACATTTTTGAGGTTTGATGATCACGCTAAGGAATAGAAGTCGTTCACCACAAAATTTCCATCAAAGACGCCACTCCTGCATCCTCTGCAAGATTCTTTCGCAATGTGCATGAAATCCGGAAAACCACTTACAATCAACACGCTTGAATTACATCTAACTTTTCACCACAGCAGCCTGCATAGCATGAATACGATATCCCTGCCAGAAAATAAATTTCGGAGGGTACTTACAGTTGACATGGAGAGTGACAGACTGTGTGACATCTTTTTGCAAGGCAGTGTTCTTCGCTTGGCACGAGTAGGTGAGACCATCGTCGGCCGCTGTCAGGTTGAGCGCTAACACGTTCGTCACTCGTGTGCCTGAAACACAAGGAAAATATTACAACAGTGAAAACTGGTTCTGCTTAATCTTAAGACTTCTCGAGGGCCAAGCAAAGATAAGAAAAAAAAGAAAAGAAAGAGAGAGAGAGAGTGAGAGAGAGAGAGAGAGAGAGAGAGAGAGAGAGAGAGAGAGAGAGAGAGAGAGAGAGAGAGAGAGAGAGAGAGAGAGAGAGAGAGAATGAGAGAGAGAGAGAGAATGAGAGAGAGAGAGAGGGAGAGAGAGAGAGAGAGAGAGAGAGAGAGAGAGAGAGAGAGAGAGAGAGAGAGAGAGAGAGAGAGAGAGAGAGAGAGAGAGAGAGAGAGAGAATGAGAGAGAGAGAGAGAGAATGAGAGAGAGAGAGAGAGAATGAGAGAGAGAGAGAGAGAGAGAGAGAGAGAGAGAGAGAGAGAGAGAGAGAGAGAGAGAGAGAGAGAGAGAGAGAGAGAGAGAGAGAGGTGGGGAGGAAAAAGGGGTGTGAACTTTTCTATTTTATTTAATAATAGCATTACATCCAAAGCAAAGGTTCTACTTTATCAGAATCCAACATTCCACCCGCAGTGACGTTTATATTTCATATGTGAGATCGGAGAGTGAGAGCTCAATCCCCGCTTTGTTTCTTGGCACACGAGACGGTCGCGCGTTCTTATGTCCGCCGCTTACGCAGAGGACAGGCACGCTATCGGAAACCTTTAGGCCCTCCATTACTGACCTCCATTAAGGCTGGAAGAGGTCTCCTGCAGGCGGCCTGCCATCCTGTAGTCGCCCCTAAACCAGGTGATGGTGGCGGCCGGGTTGGAGGGCCCTGACTCGCAGGTGAGGATGGCCTGGCTGCCCGCACTCAGGCGCCGCGGACTCTGGCTGATCTGCAACGGAAGGGATCAGCGGTCATGGTCTTGCTAATAAGCTACAAACGAGGAGCAATACATTCTACCCTAGATGTCCTAATAAGTTCATATATAACGGGAAGTACCACATACATAGAAATTCCTTATGCATATACGCATAGAAGAGTGTAGTGTTGTAATTATCATTATCTTTAAGCATCATGTTTCCTGTGACTCTTTTCCCGGCAGAAGTCCTCACCTTGACGGTCTCCGGCGGGAAGAAGACGACGAGCGTCGTGGAAATGCTGACGGGCGACGAGGCGGCGCTGTTGTGCGCCTCGCAGCGGTACTGCGCCCCGTTGTCCTGCGGCTCCGCCACGATCTCGATCTCGGCTGAGCTGACGTCATCGATGCTGTGCTTCCTTGAAGGAATTTTCTGGCCATCTCGGTACCACTGCAAGTGCGCTGGGGGGTTGCCGCCCCTCGAGACGCAGGTTATCCGCTGCTGGCTGCCCACGCGGATGCCCGAGCCTTCGCTGTAGCCGTGCAACACCGGCGGCAGAGGCGGACCTGTGGGGAAGGAGACTCATGTCAGAGAGATCGAGGAGCCAGCGGCAAGATGTGAGGAAATGCCTGAAATAAGAGGAAACGCCAGCAATGTGAAGGAAGGAAAAGGACTCAGCACATGAAGGGTCTTACAAGTCGTCTTAATCACAAAATAGTACACTGTATCTGTAAACCTCTCCATTATCATTTGCTGTTAGGCATAATAATGATTAACTGCCTTCACCGGCCCACCATTAATCTGATCACATGTTAAATACATCGCGGCATCTCAGCCGCTTCAGCATAATTTGTCCACTTCACTCGAACTCTCCCAAGCGACCTCCTTAAAGATCCCCCAAGGAAGCCTCCCTCCTTCCTTCCTCGCCGTAAATCTTCGCGTGACGTGTCTCCCGTATCTCGGACCCTCCCTAACGATGCCCCCCCTCCCTGTCTCACGTCGCCGGCGCTCCGTGAAGCGTCGCAGCTCCGCATCGTTAGAGTCCTTCCGACGGCGTGAATGCCACCCGGCTCGCCGGCGCTCCGAGGCCGGGCTCACCGATGCCCCAAGGTGCGAGGGTGCGAGGCTGGAATGAAGGCAACAGCCGCCGCCAGCACACCTGCGGGCGGGTCTGCGCTCCCACCCCCCCGCGGAGATGACCTATTTTATCACCTTGTTGAAATACCACCAAGGGCGAGAATCAGATCCAGATCAGGTACAGGGCTTCTGGGGAGCTGTCCTTGTAAGACGTTCGAGATACGGCTCCTCCACTTGAATTCACAATCGAGTGCAGCGAAAAGAGGAGGAGGAAGAGAAAAAGACAGCGATAAAGAGAGCAAACGTTGGTGAAAGTGTATGCATGGCTAAACAAGCAAGCATGAGCTGCAAAGCATGTAATTTCTCAAGATGTCAGATAAGAGCGTGTCTATTCGTCTCTGTTCTCTATCTTTCTGCAGCTTCAGCGTCCTAAAATCTCCCTCGCTCAGCCATTCCCTCTCGCTC